TCCCTCTCTTGGAGAAATAAATAAGTTTAAAAAAAATTTAAAGCACTGTAGAGGAAAAAAAACTAGGTAAATGCTCTTTAGATGATAAAATAATATACCACTATTTAACTTACCAGGCTACTTTTTTATGTATAGTGCAAAGCAATCTCTGTGACTAGCAGACATATGAGTTTTTATCACCCCTTCTCACCCTTCACATACCTTGAACATCTCTTCCCAAAACTTCCACATAGTTCTGATCTTTTAAGATTTCCCGGTCATCTTCCTCTAACTCATATTCGGGCTTCTTTATTATTTTTTTTGTGTTAACCAGAACCTGAGCTCGTTCCTTCTTTAATTTAGTTCCTACAAAGACATCCAAACAATTAGAATAATAACAAGTATAAACTGTTTGTAAACATTACATTTAAATAAGTTAAACTATACTATTTATGTTATCACTTAAAAAATGGGAAAAAAAGTCAGTGACTTCTCTTTGATCAAAAGTACTGATCATGGGGCTGGCAAGTGGCATGGTGGTTAAGGTGCTGGACTCCCAAATGGTCGACTACAGTTCAAGTCCTGGATCAGGAGGCTTGATTTCTCGCTTTCCTTTCTCTCTCTGGCTAAATTAAAATAATAACAACAACAGCAACAAATGTAAATAAATAAATAATTCTTTTTTAAAAAGTACTGCTCCCACTTTCACACTTTATATAACTAATTTTAAAAGAAAAACAACCTGGGACCTGCAGAGGGCATAATGGTTACATCACTGGACTCCCACATTGCTGACAGTGGCTCAAGTCCTGGACCTGGTAGATTAAAATTCATGCCGAACACATGTGCATGCCTGACCAAAATCCTGAGAGTAAATTGGAGAAGGGACCGCGGCATGGCCATCCCCCCAGGGGGGTGATTTCTCGCTTTCTGTCTCTGTGGCAAGTGCACATACCCTATAGCAAAACTTTCTCTAAATGAAAAGGAAAAACAACCTTGAAAGTGCCTATTTTGGGTGAGGGTCAAAATAACTATATATTTTAAATTATAATGTATTTATTTACCACTACAACTGAGCATTTCACATTAGATGAGACGTTACTTAAAAATTTCAGTTAAAGTTAGAAAGAAGTAAATGAAAATTAAAGCAGTTTTGTTATTTATCGTATTACTGAATCAAATAATTTGTGCTATGTTCATTAATAAAATGTTAAAATATTTTAAAAAGTGAAAAATTCATAATCATAACAATAAACATCTCTTCAATGATATAATCACTCAGTACCTCCTTCTCTATCAAGAATGTGATTAAGAACATCATCATCCCCCACGAATTGAACCTCTAGCATCTTCTCTTCCTTTAATTCCAGTTTATTCATCATTGCCAACCTAAACAAAAGCAATAAATCACTCAAATGATGAAGAATTCATACCAGCCACCAAATAAATCAAACATTCACATAATACATGCATTTATATAACAACTTAAAGTCTTTTTAAGTATAAAAAATACATTATGTGTCATTGTATTAATAGTATGCTTTTGAGGCCAGCAGGTAGCATGGTGGTTAAGGCACTGGACTGGATTCCCACATGTCCTACCACGGTTCAAGTTCCAGAACTAGTGGCTTGCTTTCTCACTTTCTCTCTCTCTCTTTCTGGTAAGCACACATGCCCTATAGCAAATTTAAAATAATAATAATAATAATAATAATAATAATAAAATAAATAATTCTAAAAAAATTACGATTTGATTATAGGCAATTCTTTATCTGAAAAATAGGGTGTGAGAGAGATGGCTAAGGTTTGTTTTGTTTTGGTTTGGTTTATTTATTTATTTATTTATTTATTGCCACAGGGTTTGTGTGTTTGCCAGAGAGAGACAGAGGAAAAAATAAGAAAATCACCCCTGGGGGGATGGCCACACCACAATCCTTGCTCCTCCATTCTCTTCTTAGGATTTTGGGCACACATAAACACATATCCAACTTGATTTTCAAGCCACAGGGTCTGGGACTCAAATAGTGGTGTCAGCCATATGGAAATCTGGCCCCCCTTAACCACCATGAACCTGCTGGTAATGAGATGGCTAAGATTTAAATCCATTTAAGGTAACAAAAATAGAACCTTTGGCTGTGTATATATGCACCCCCAAAATCCTGAAAAGGGGGATAAACGGAGGAAAAGAGATTATGGCATGACCATTCCCCATGAAGGGTGCTTTCTTATATGCTGTCACTTTGTCTCTCTCCAGTTAGCACACACAAAAAATTTAAAAATAAAATAAATACTCTAGATTATATTTTTTAAAATAGAAAGGGCATGCAAGTGCTTGTGAAAGACAGAGAGAAGGACCTGTGACAGGGTCTCATCACGCCATGATCCCTTTGCCCCAGTCCTCCAGATCCTCGGAATGCTGGGTACCTGCATATGCTGAGTATGTTTTTAAGCCATCCTGGAGCTCTGAACCTGTGCTCAGCCATATGGTTTCCAGACTTGCAGGACACTACATCACCACTAAGCCATAGCAGCTTGGCTTCTGTCCCTCCTCCTCTCACCAAATTTACTTACTTATCTCTTCTGCGAGTAGGAGAGAAAGAAAGGTGGCACATGCACTCCCTAACATGGTCTGGTCATGCCACCACTCCTTTGCCACAAACTTCCAGTTTGTCAGGATCTTGGACACACAAGCACAGGCCTAGACACTGGCTCGGAATCCAAACTTCAGTAGGCCATGTGGTTTCCAGCACTGCAGTATGTTATCCTACTTATTGTGCCACAGAGGCCGAGCCTTGTCTTCGCTTCCACTGCACGCTTACCAAACAACTTTACAACTATGAATAAGTATCTTGGTAACTAGACAGTATACATGAATCTTGCTAAGGCCTTACAGTCAGTAAGGTGTTTTTCACTAAACAAATTAAGAGTTTTAGCAAGCAAAAATTTGATCAACTCTGGCTATTTTTACAAACTTATAGTTTCAGAACTTATAATGTTAATGGCCTGAAACTAATTAATGATGATCCAACTACCGCTAGTTAACCCAAAAATGTAAGCTAAGATTTGGGGTTCTTTGTGATTTTTTTTCTCCTCTCTCTAAATCCTACCTCTGCCTTTTCTTCTGACAATGGGAACTCTCAAATCTGTCATGAGCTAGTTATTTGCATACAGATAATGAATTCAAAGTTGCTATGTGTTCTCTTAACAACCGGCACTCTTACTGACTTCTTTCAGTTTTCACTTACCTTTTAAGGTATCACACATTCTGCAGTTGGAAAATTCAGATAGTCACCTGTAACTGGCAAAAAACTCAGGGTCAGTCAATAAGGAAACAAAATCAACAGGGCAATACAAAGAAGACCAAAAGATTTTTGCTTTGGTTTTTGTTTTTTAAGACTTTTTTTTTCGGGGGGAGAGG